GATGACCACCCTCCTCACTCTTTCCATCTGCTGAGGTTACTTCATTCCAATCCATTAACGGGCTTCAAAGTGCTGCTGGGGAGAGTCCATTTAGCAGAGAAGCTATCACGGGGCCAAAGGTGGCGCCCACCCCCTACCCCATTTGTCGATAATGGGCCACAAAGTCTGAGGCTTGGCTGCACTCTAGACATAAAATATTCATTCAAGTCGACATAATACATATATAGGAACCTCATGGAAGCTCCCGGGAGAAGAGTAATGCCAGCCAGGTGGCTAAGTGCTCAATGAGAAAGAGTTCATGAAGGCCTGGGTTAGTCCTGATCAAATGCCCACGGAGAATTGGGTTGTTCTGTCCAAAGGGGAAACAATCTAGTCTGAGAAGTTCTGACTCCCAAGAGCTCTAACCCTGCAAACCTCTTAAGCAAACAGTCTCAATCTTTTCCTACCTCACAGGCACCAGCTCTGCTTAGGACATTTATGTTGAGAAAAATCTCCAGCCCAATCTTTGGTTAGTCTGAAAGATTCAGTTATCCCTGTGTAAACTTTTATTTGAACCTGCAGCAGGCCAAGTTTCAACAACTGCCTTATATCCATCTGTTTAGCTACTTCCCAAAGTCCATAAACTGGAGAAAAGTAATTTTTTTTTTTTTCTGAGATAGTGTCTTGCTCTGTCACCCAGGCTGAAGTGCAATGGCACAAACACAGCTCAATGCAGTCTCGACCTCCCCAGCTCAAGCCATCCTCCTGCCTCAGCCTTCTGTGTAGCTGCGACCACAGGCATGTGCCACCACGCCCAGCTAAATTTAAAAAAAATTTTTTGTAGGTATGGAGTCTCACTTTACTGATCAGGCTGGTCTTGAACTCCTGGCCTCAAGCAATCCTCCTGCCTTGGCTTCCCAAAGTGCTAGGGATACAGGCATGAGCCATGGTGTCTGACCAGAGAGAAATTATTATAGTTTACTAGGTACAGTTACTTTTACCAGGTTCAAAGGTTACGAACTCCAAGGACTCCCAAAGCCCTTGCTCTAACAACACGTCATTCCAGATCCCTACGGCCAAGCTGAAAGTGACACTATTTGGTCTGACATTCACCCACATTCCTAACCAGAAGGCAGCACCATCAAGGAGCCCCTGGCCAGAATCAAAGGACAGAGTGAGAATTAGCACCAGGACACACTGCTGCACAGCTCAGAGTGTGGAGTGAGATGCTAGCTAGCTCATCCAATCTACCTAAGTGACACCAAAAACAAAAAAAATATATTTACCCAGCAGATCACCTGAGGTCAGGAGTTTGAGACCAGCTTGGCCAACATGGCAAAACCTCGTCTCTACTAAAAATACAAAAATTAGCCAGGCATGGTGGCAGGCGCCTGTAGTCCCAGCTACTCCGGGAGGTTGAGGCAGGAGAACAGCTTGAACCCGGGAGGTGGAGGTTGCAGTGAGCCGAGATGGCATCACTGCACTCCAGCCTGGGCGACAGAGCAAGTCTCTGTGTCCAAAAAACAAAAAGAAAAAAAAAAAGATTATATATATGTCCAGAGTCAACAATGGGGTCCAATGAAGAGTGTTTGGAGTACTTCAGCTATTCTTTATAGGATCTTGTAACTTTGTTTTCTTCACCAGTACTTCCAAACTCCCCTTTCTAGAACTGAGAGAATAAACAATGCCACTCACCACCTAGAAGCCTGACAGCTGCCCCCTCCCTTCCCACTGTAGCAGGAGTGGGGCGAGTTTTCTCTCAATCTCTCTCTCATAGTTTCTGAGGCTCAGAGGTGGCGCAGGTCCCAGATCCAGTAGCCTCTCCCCCAGGTGTTATGAACTCTAGCAGGTGAACTCTGAAAGCTGGACCTTTCTCCAGGCTTGCCTGTGACTACTGCTGCTGCTGGCTGGAAGGCGAACAGTCATCTTGCTGATTGCTTTCACAACTGCCAAGCTTCCAGGCCAGCAGAGCCATTTGGAAAAGAAGTGAACTGAAAGCTCAGCTCACAGACTAACAATCCCCCAAACTACCAGCCCCAGATTAGAACCCTCCTTCTGCAAAAGCAAGAAGTCTATGGCTGTGAACAAGCACATCTGGAATCAGGTGTCACAAAAACCATCTTAAAGACAGGGCTTGACTTTTTTTTTAGTCTCCTACTTTCGCTGTTACAAGCGAAGTCGACAGCAAACAGGCAATCTCCCTGCAACGCAAGGTTTATTTTTATGCTTCAACATTTTCTGTGTCTGTGTGTTTCAGAGTGATCAAAGGGCTCCTGGAAACAGGTTCTCATCAGCCACATTTTTAAAGAAGAGGGAGAGGAAGAGCAAGAAAAGAGACTGGAGACAACCAGTGGTGTCTGTTTACCTATTTTCTGGTAAAACCAGTTTAAATAATTTAAATTTAAATAAGGTGACAGAAGACCTTTAGGGGAGGAAATCAGCCCAACTAAATCCCCTTTTTAAAAAAAATAACATTAAGACTATAGTAATGACCAAGTTTCCATGACTACTTTAGCTAAAATCACAAGAGGACCAAGAAGAGGTTTCTTTCACTTGGTGGCATGATCTACTCTCGGAGGTCAATGTTTGATACACCTGGCCTTGTGACCTGAGGAGCTGCTGTTTGTCTTTTTTCCTATTTTAAAGAATACAAGGATCAGGCCCGGCGCGGGGGGCGTGGTGGCTCATGCCTGTAATCCCAGCACTCTGGGAGGCCGGATCACCAGGTCAGGAGATTGAGACCATCCTGGCCAACATAGTGAAACCCCGTCTCTACTAAAATACAAAAAATTAGCCGGGCACGGTGGTGCGTGCCTGTAGTCCCAGCTACTCAGGAGGCTGAGGCAGGGGAATCGCTTGAACCCGGGAGACGGAGATTGCAGTGAGCCAAGATTGCGCCACTGCACTCCAGCCTGGTGACAGAATGAGACTCCGTCTCAAAAAAAAAAAAAAAAAGAAAGAAAGAATACAGGAATGTGTCTGGGATAGGTGCATCCAAGGTTTTCCAAAGTCCCTGCTTTTACTGGAATGAGACTTCATATTAAGTCAATACAGTGATTGGCTACCCTGAGAACAGTAGAAGGTATGAAGGGGCTAAGGAGAATCTAAGTCCATAAAGAGTAGAAATAGGATGGGTAATCAATAATCATAACAGGATGACAACGTACGCAGCTACTGCTCTGGGCAAAGTTATCAAAGAGCTTACTTACATTCCCAAATGGTCACTGACTGCTGCTATCATGAAGTCAGTGGATGCGCACTACGGTGGAATCCCTACTATATGCTCAGCAGTACACTAGGCATGTAAGGAAGAGGGGAAATCAACACACATATCACAGGAATATACCATGGCAATAATGCATTTACATGTAGTAAGCAGCACAAAGAAACCACACTGAGGCAGTCTGTTACTCTGCTCTGCTGAACACAATGCCCCCCACCAGCCTCACTGAGAGAGTAGGCACTCCATCGCCACTCCCCAAATGCCTGAGGGTGCCAGTCAGTCACTTGGTCTCCTCCTACCAGCTCACGATCAACAGTCTGGGAAAGTTCTCTGGTTAAGCAGGGTTTACCTGCTAAAACAGAGGTTGTGAGAGGAAAAAGGGTGGAAAAAGCAACCTCAAGAGGGCCTAGAGAAAGCAATTCCCAGTAAGGAGAGATAAACAGCTGGCAGGCAAGGGAGAGAAAGACTGCGAGACACCGAACATGCTCCTCTGTCTCCGAAGACCCACCTGTCCCATGAGAACCAGCTGCCGAACCCAGTGATGAAATGGAAATCAACCATCCCTCCCTCTCAACCCCTATTTCACCCCTAGAAGCAAATAATCCACAAGTAATAAAAGGATCAACCCTGCAGAGAAAAACTCTGCCTAGAACTTCTTTTGAGTTCCTAACTGCCCAGGCGACAGAGAGAGCCAGGGGTAACAAAATAGAAAAACACAGTAAATGAAAGGAGGTAAGATTTTTCAAAGAATGTTCACATGCAAGAGAATATAACAAGTGCTCTACCGGGCTACAAAGAAAGAGGGGAGTAAGAGGGAAACATAAAGGATGGAATGAGCGGAAAGAAGGCAAAAAGCACAGCAGCCCCGGGGCGGAAGCACTTCTTTTTCAAGTCAAGTTTTTTTGGCCTAGTAAAGTTCTCCACCAAGAAAGGTATGACAGGCAGGGGCCTCTGCACAGAGCAGTCAGCAAAGGACGCTAGAGACGGTAAAAGAAAGGGGAGGGGTGGAAAGTGGACGCCTCTGGGATCAAAAGTGAGATGACACAGAAAGGCTAAGACTTGGGTGACAAACCATAGCAGTGATTGCCAGGATGAGGGGGACCGTGGAGTCGTGAGGCTGAGGTGTAGCTAGAGAAACTAGCATGCAAAACACCCGGACTTCCTGGGAATTACAAAGACTTAGCCAATAGGAACAGAATGGATCCAAGCATGGTGGGGGGATACACAGGACATGAAGAAGGCAGGAGACTAACGTGGAGATGAAAGGCAACGCTGAGTAAAAGGTACAGTAAGGAAGATGCGGTGAGGGTGGAGAAACAGGAAGGCAACAAGCAAGAAAGAAAATACTCTTAAGTGCCAGGCACGGGAGTGAAGACACAGAAAGTCATCATGGTTTGTGTTTCAGCGTACGAAGACAGAAAGGCAAAAATTGTGATGCAGCGAGGTCTGGGAAAGGACTGAGCAACAGGTTGTGTTAATACGGTGGGGCCAAGTGTCTTTCGGTTGGGAGGAAGAGCCCAGTAGAAGGCTAGTAGAACCCTCACAGAGAGAAACAGGAGACCCCGGGACCTAAAAGCCAAACCCGAGGGCAAGAGAACAAGAGGGATCCAAAGACTCTGAAGGGAGTGATGATTGGAACCCCAAAGGCAACCTGTGGGAAAACTATGCGCATGACAGCTGTGGGGAAACACGGAAGCGACAAATGCCAGCGCCAGGATCCAGGGAGCTCCTGGAGCAAAGAAGGGAAAGTGATGAGCAAAGAGTAGGCGAAGGATTTGGAAAGGTGATGAGGGTGGAGCTGGTGGGTTGCAAGCAAGAGGGAGAGAACAATTTGGAAAACGAAGAAGCAGGATAGAAAAAGCTGGGGGAACTGCAAGGGGCCAGGGATCGAGAGCGCAGTCCAGGGCAAGGACCCTGAGGGTGATAACCAGAGACTGGCAGAACCGGTGCGGGCGGAGGGGAAGCGAGGCAGGAGAGACGAAGGGAGAGGTGGACAACGATCTGTGGCAAATCGCGGGGTGCTGCTATTCGAGGAGCGGGAGGGTGGCTGCTTTAAGCGTGGGTGGAGGAAGACCAGAAAGGCCCCTGAAAGAAAAAGGGAAGAGAAAGGGAAGCTGGGGAGGTGACACGGAAGAGCGCAGGAGGGCGGTGAGGGGAGAGGGGGTTGGCAGAAAGACAAGTGTGCAGCTTGGAGTCAGGACGAGGTGGGTCCCAGGTCAGGACTCGGAAGCGGGATGTGCGGAGCTGGAGCCGGGAGCCGAATGACAGGGCAGCCGAGGCTTGCAGGATGGCAGCAGGGGCACGAGGAGAGCAGAAGAGGGAGTAGGCTCCGCAAGGTGCAAGGGGCCCAGCCAGAGAATTCGGGGAGCCCTCGGGGCTCCTTACCTGCTCCGTGTCCCTCTCGTTCAGCGTGGGTAGGGGGGTCCGAGCGCTGGACATGGCGCCGGTATCTCGGGGGAGGGAACCGAGAAGCTTGGAGGAAGGGAGGGAAGGGAAGGCGCGGAGCCCGGCCGGGCGGGGCTTCTCACAGCAGGAGCACCCGCCGCATGGGCCCCGGCCGGGGGTGCGGGGAGGCCGGGCAGCCGCTCACGCCAGCCCGGGGATGCGCCGCTCGGGCTAGGCCGCGCCGGCTCCGAGCGGCTCCGGACCGCACCCCCCCGACCCCCGGCTGGGCTGTGCCGCCTTTCGGCCGGGCCGCGCGCTCCGCCTACTCTCTGCCGCCGCAGCCGGCCGCCTGCCTCGCTCCTCCCCTGCCCTCAGCGGCACTGCTCCGCGCCCGGCACACAGGCAGCCGCCGCCGGACCTGCTGCTCCCAACATGGCCGCCACCACCGCCGGCCCTCGGCTCTTTCCGCCGGCAGCAGCCGGAAACATCCGAAGCGGCTAGAAACGGGAGGTGGGGCGCGCCTTCTCCTCCCGGCCACAGACTACGGGTGAATTCCGGAAACAGCCGAAGAAGGTAACCCCCGGGGACGCGCGCACCTCCTCGTAAGAAGACGAAGCTTCGGCTCTGTTTACGGAAATCCACGAAACGACCCCGATTACCTACCCCCTCAGCTCCCGTCCACAGACATCCAGCCACGCCCACCGGCCTTTCCCCGCCCACTTCAAGAGGGCTTTCGGCAGTTTCCGGAAATACCCGAAGCTGCTCCGCGTGCTGAGCCGGCCACGCCCCCTCCCACCGCCCTGCCTAGGGCGGTCGTCGGCCATTTCCGGCAACACCCGAGGCCCTCCGAGCACCCGGTCGTTTCCCCGGGTGACTCTCGGAATCTGATTCGCTTCGTGTCTTTCCGTCAGTTTTCGGGTATTTTCAAACCTTGAACAGGAAGCATGGGTCACCTGTTCGTGCTTGTGATTTGACTAAATACAAAACAAGATTGTTAGCCGGCCCTGCGATTGGCATCCTCTGGTTCTATAGCAGCTTCCTGTCTGCATTTCTGTCCATCTGTCGGTCAGCTCATAAAATCCATCTTCTTTTTATCATCTAGCCTATCAACATACCTGTCAAACGCAGCATCAGTCTATTGCCTGTCTGCCACCGTCTATCTTGGCTTCTTTGGATCCATCCGTGCATTCCTGCATCTAGTCTGCAGGGCTCGGCAAAGCCCCAGGAAGGCCCAGGGCAGCGTCCTCTGCACCGGATGCGGGAGCGTCCAGGGCCCTGCATTTCAGCCCCAGCTCTGCCAAGCGCAAATGCTGCGTGATCTTAGAAAAATCACATAACATCACTGAGTTTAGGCTCCTCTTTCCTATGGCTTTGTTCCTGCGTTGACATTCGAAATGACATTTCTAAATTCCAATTACCTTTTAAAATGCATCTGCAAGATAAGACATTTAAAGTTTATTTTCTTTCCTCCTCTGGGCCTCATTTTCCCCATCAGTAAAGTGAAGCCATTGGATTCATGAACTCGGAGGTCCTTCTCAGCTTTGAAGAGCCCTTGACTAACAGGAAGTCTGTATGGCAACTGCAGTCCACTCCTCACTTCCCCTTACACTGTGTTACCAAGGACAGGCAGTATCCTGGGCTGATTTCCCCAGTGCCAAGCTGTCCTCACCCATAGTACCTGGAACATGTTGGAACCACACCCTCCCGTCAGTGGCTTAAGGTGGGCAGGAGGCAGAGGCCCCACAGAAGTCAGAAACCAGGCTCAGGCAACAGGTTCCCAAAGGTACAGGAGCAGAGAGGCCCCAAGAGTTATTGGGAAAACTGCTGATTGGACCCCTGCTATTTGACCTCCAACTCCCAGCTACAGCATCTTGAGCCAGCCTTCATCCCACCAATCAGAGAAATAGGCATCTGAGCAGATGTAATTACCAGGGTATGAAAGTACTTCCTAAGGCAACAGGTATCACTACACTCTTAGTAAATCCCTGGAACTCCGGCACTGCTCCCCATGCCCCATGCCAGCTCTATTCAGGCACCCAACCGTTGAGGAAGAAGGTGGTGAAGGCACACCCATGAAGGTGAGGGCAAGACAGAAGAGGACAGAGAATATTTCACTCCCCCGACCCAAATTCAATCCTTGAGAATCATCTGCCCTCTGGTGGCCAAAGGGAGACACACTGCTGATTCCTGTGCCTGGTATCACCTCTAATGCCAGGGTCTGGAAAGCAGGGAAAAGAGAGAGGAAGCAGTTGGTGGTCAGTGTTCCAGCAGTCTCTCCCTGGTCCACGCTCTCGTCTAAATAGACTCCATCTTCTCCAAGCTTCTCACTCTAGCTCTAACCCCTGCCTCACCCTTGCCCTTTGATCTTCAGCCCCGACCCCTACCCTAACTATCCTTTTCTCTTCCTCGCTAGCTTTGCACAAGGCTGCTGAGCTTGTCTCCCTGCCTAGACTCCCTCCAACCTACTGCACCAGACATGTCAGAATAATCTTCCCAAAGTCCAGCTCCAATAACATCTCTGCTCTGTTAGAAAGCTATCACCAGCCCCCTCACAGGTTATAGGCAGGGCTGGCTTCATTGACCCATGACCCATGCAGTCACACAGAGCCCTGTGCTTAGGAGGGCCCTGAGCTTGGATTAATGTTCTGCTGTCACCATCTTGATTTTTTTTTTTTTTAAAAGACTGGATCTCGCTCTGTAGCCCAGGCTGGAGTGCAGTGGTGCAATCTCAGCTCACTGCAACCTCCACCTCCCAGGTTCAAGTGATTTTCATGCTTCAGCCTCCTGAATAGCTGGGATTATAGGTGACCACCACCACGCCTGGCTAATTTTTTATGTTTTTAGTAAAAACAGGGTTTTACTATGTTGGCCAGGCTGGTCTCGAACTCCCAACCTCAAGTGATCCACCTGCCTCGGCCTCCCAAACTGCTGGGATTACAGGCATGAGCCACCATGCCCGGCCCACCATCTTGAAATTTTTGACCAAAAGGGCCATGCATTTCCATTTTGCACTGTGCCCCACAAATTATGTAGCTGGTCCTGGCTGTAGGAAAAGCCTTTAACCTGCTTTCAAAACTTTGCTCAATCTGGCCTCACATTACCTTGCAATAACCTCTCTAACTATCACTGATCACACTTCTCCCTAACTCCCACCCTGCTGCCAATCTCTCTTCCTTCCATGCCTTTGTTCAAGCTGATAGATGATTGCCCGTCACCCACCTCAGCTTCCAGAACCGCTTCAAGATCCAGTTCAAATTTCACCTACTCAAATCCATGAGCCCTCCCAGTTCTCCTCAAAGATGAATTACTGCCACACATTTACCCCCTCTCTAAATCTGCAAATTCATTCATTCATTCAGTAAATCCCTATTGAGCACCTACTATGTGCAAGGCATTGTTTTAGGCTTTTAGGTAGATCAGTGAACAAAATAAAGATCTCTGCCTGCCAGGTGTGGTGGCTCACGCCTGTAATCCCAGCACTTTGTAGGAGGCCGAGGTGGGTGGATCATGTGAGGTCAGGAGTTCGAGACCAGCCTGGCCAACATGGTGAAACCCCATCTCTACTAAAAAAAAAAAAAAAATACAAAAAATTAGCCAGGCATGGTGGCGGGCGCCTGTAATCCCAGCTACTTGGGAGGTTGAGGCAGGAGAATCGCTTGAAACCGGGAGGCAGCAGTTGCAGTGAACCGAGATCACAGCAAAAAAACTCTGCCCTCTGGGAGCTTACTTTTCATTTTGAGGAAGACACACAACAAACAAAAGAGTCAGTATTAAGTGACATCAGAAAAAAACAGAGCCAGCTAAGGGGGGGGGGGTCAGGAGTACAGGGGTGAGAGGGTGGAAGACAAACTGCAGTACTGAGGGGGTTCATGAAACCCTCACTGAGAACGTGACACTTGAGTAAAAACTTGAAGGAGACCGGGTGTGGTGACTCACACCTGTAATCGCAGCACTTTGGGAGGCTAAGAAAAAAAAAAAAAAAAAAAAGACGTGAAGGAGGTGAAGGCATGAGCTCTGCAGACATCTAGGGGAAGAGCAACCCAGGCAGAGGAGCGTACCTGTCCTGTTTGAAGATCAAGGGGCCAATGATCCTGGAGCAGAGTGAGTGAGGAGGTGTGTGGCGATGGGAACCAGGCCTGGTGGGCTACCGTTGTGGTTTTCCCTGGGAGTGGGATGAGTTGCCGCCGGAGTGACATGATCTCACTGGCTGCTGGGTTGGGAACTGAGTGAAAGGGCATGACAGAAGCAGACCCGGGGGACTAGCAAGGAGGCTTTTACGACAATTCAAGGGAGAGATGCCAGTGGCTTGGGGCCAGGCAGCAGCAGTGGAAGTAGTGAGAATTGATCAGATTTGGGACGTATTTGAAAGGTGCAGCCAACAGGCTTTCGGATGGGTTGGGGTTATGAGAGAGAGGGGTTAAAGATGATTGGCCGGGCGCGGTGGCTCAAGCCTGTAATCCCAGCACTTTGGGAGGCCGAGACGGGCGGATCACGAGGTCAGGAGATCGAGACCATCTGGCTAATATGGTGAAACCCCGTTTCTACTAAAAATACAAAAAACTAGCCGGGCGAGGTGGTGGGCGCCTGTAGTCCCAGCTACTCGGGAGGCTGAGGCAGGAGAATGGTGTAAACCCGGGAGGCGGAGCTTGCAGTGAGCTGAGATCCGGCCACTGCACTCCAGCCTGGGCGACAAAGCGAGACTCCGTCTCAAAAAAAAAAAAAAAAAAAAAAGATGATTGTAGGCTTTCCCACCTGAACAGCTGAAAACACACACACAGAGTACAACTGCCGGGAGGTGTTGGCATTCAGCGGGCCCTTCGGGGTGACAGACTTTCCATCCTAGAACCACATTTGTCCTGAGAATGAGGGTGTTCTCTCTAGGGGAGAAAAGGACTGAGCAGATTTGGTGGCATGATGGCTCTGGGCTGAGGCACCTGGCTTCAGGGAGGTAGGAAGGCAGACACCCCAGGAGGTGTTGCAGCCCCTTCCCTGTCGCTGCACCTGCAAGCAGCCTCAGTAGGGTGCCCCCCTCCCAAGAGACTCCGGTGGCAGAGAGGGTCTGCAAGCCCATTAGAGACCCTCTCCCATCCCAGCCCCCATCTTCTACCACACCTTAGGGGTGTGCAGGATTTTACAGTTTACAAAGGCCCCCAAATGCAGAGTCTCATTTGAGCCACACAGCAGCTCAGCTGTGTGTGGGGTGGAGGTGGGGGTGACTACCACATTTTCTGCAGAGAAACAGGAAGCTCAGATTGCAGGAGCATCTGTTGGAAAGCCTCAGGGCCTGGACCAGACCAGTTCCACCACTGGGGTGCGGCAGGGGCCCAGCCAGTGTCCCCCGTTCCCATTCACACTCCCACATGCTCCAGTTTCTCTTCAAGAAGGGCAGGGGCAACTGTTCCCTTGTCTCAGACTAGCTTTGTCCACAAGAAAGAGAGGATTACCAGCATTGTGATATAAAAAGACAGATATCAGCCAGGTGCGGTGGCTCACACTTGTAATCCCAGCACTTTGGGAGGCCAAGGCAAGTGGATCACCTGAGGTCAGGAATTCAAGACCAGCCTGGCCAACATGGTGAAACCCCATCTCTACTAAAAATACAAAAAATTAACTGGGCATGGTGGTGGCAAGCACCTGTAATCCCAGCTACTCGGGAGGCTGAGGCTGGAGAATTGCTTGAACCCTGGAGGCAGAGGTTGCAGTGTGCCGAGATCATGCCGTTGCACTCCAGCCTGGGCCTCAAGAGCGAGACCTTGTCTCAAAAAAAAAAAAAAAAAAAAAAAAAAAAAAACCGCTGGGCGTGGGTGGCTCACACCTGTAATCCCATAACTATGGGAGGCCGAGGCAGGAGTTATCACGAGCTCAGGAGTTCGAGACCAGTCTGGCCAAGAGAACAGCCTGGCCAATATGATGAAACCTCGTCTCTACTAAAAATACAAAACTTAGCCGGGCATGGTGGTGGGTGCCTGTAATCCCAGCTACTCAGGAGGTTGAAACAGGAGAATCATTGGAACCTGGGAGGTGGAGGTTGCAGTGAGCCAAAGATCATGCCATTGCACTCCAGCGTGGGCGACAGAGCAAGATTCCGACTCAAAAGAAAAAAAAAAAAAAGGCATATATATCTGGTCTTCATTCGGGGTTTCTGGCCCAGAACTAAAACTCCTGGAATTTCCTGAGTGATGGGGAGAGAGGAGCATCTTTTGTTATTCATAATGAATCTCTTTTCACCACACCTGAGTTCACACCAATGAGATGACTTTTGGAGGATGGGGCTGGTGGCCAGAGAAACCAACCACGTGATTAGGGGATTGCAACTTTCATCCCTACCCCAGACCTCGGGGAGGGAAGAGGGGCTGCAGATTGAACCAGTGGCCAATGATTTAATCAATCGTGCCTAATGAAGCCTCCATCAAAACCCTAACTAATGGGGTTTGGGAGGTTCCAGGTCAGTGACAGCACCCACATGCCAGGAGGGGGTGGCTCAATCCAACTCCACTAGGACAGAAGCTCCTGTGCTTGGAACGGTTCTGAACATCACCCTCAGTAGCTCATCACCTGTTTGTCTATATCCTGTGTGACATCCTTTATAAACCATTTTGAAGTTCCCACAACCCCCTCCTTAGGTTTGATAATTTGCTGTAATGGCTCACAAAAATCAGGGAACGTAAGTAAATGTAAGTAAACCTAAGTAAATGTTTCCCTAATTTTTTTTTTTTTTTTTTTGAGACAAGGTCTCATTCTGTCACCCAGGCTGGAGGGCAGTGGAGTGATCTCTGCTCACTGCAACTTCCACCTCCTGAGTTCAAGTGATTCTCGTGCCTCAGCTTCCCGAGTAGCTGGGATTACAGGCACCCGCAACCACGCCCAGCTAATTGTTGTATTTTCAGTAGAGATGGGGTTTTGCCATGTTGGCCAGGCTGGTCTCCAACTCCCGATCTCAAGCGATCCACCCACCTCGGCCTCCCACAGTGCTGGGATTACAGGCCTGAGTCACCACGCCCGGCCTGTTTCCCTGATTTTTGTGAGCCATTACAGCAAATTATCAAACCTAAGGAGGGGGTTGTGGGAACTTCCAAATTTGGGCTGGTCAGAAGTGCAGGTGACAAGCTGGGACCTAGAACTGGTATCTAAAGCAGGGGCAGTCTGCTGGGACTGAGCCCTTCGAAGACCTGTGGGGTCCGGGCTAACTCTGGGTAGTGAGTGTCAGAACTGAATTTTAGGACAGCCGGCTGGTGTCTGGAGAGGTGGAGAATTGGTGTGGGCGCCCCCCTCACCACTAACATTGGTGTCAAAAGTACTGGGAATGTAGAACGTTTTTCCTTGTTAGGTATCCCAAAAGATCTTCCACACCTGGATCCCAAGGAAGGCAGCAGGAGGTGGCTGGCTTCAGAGAGCCAAGGAGGACTGGGAAGTCAGGGAATGGGTGTGTGGCTCAGCAGTCAGGGGCTTTTTCCCCAACCTCTTCAACTAAACGCATGGTTGGGCTTCAGCACCACATGGATGAAGGTGCCACCACCAGCCCTGAGAGTCACCGACATTTGTGCAGAGCTTCCCCAGTGTTGCACCAGGATGCAGGACCGGGGTCAGGGACTCCAAGCCAGTGTGGAGTAGGAAAGCCCTGGGCAATCCGTCAGTAAGGTCCTTCCAGCCTGGGCTGGAGTCACATCCTCAGCCCCACTTTCTCCAACTCTTTCTTGGAAGCCCAGAGGTGCCACACGCAGTTGCTGGCCACACACACTCACATAGTCCCCAGGGTCCTGGCTGAGGCTGGGGAGACCCCTATTGGCCACAATGTGGGGATGAAGCTCCCACCCACAGTCACTGTAGCAACCACCCTGTGCTGAGAACCACACTCCAGGGACTAGCACGCACTAGAAAAATGTCACACAGGAATACACACCCAGAGGGCACTCGAGAAACATTTATTGAGCACCTACTATGTGCCAGGCCCCAGGCAGGACACTTGGAAAACCAAGTCAATACAACCTGGTCTCTGCCGAGGAGCTCACAGTCTAGAGGGCTAAGCCATTAATCACAGAACAGCAAAGGTGCATTTAGCTTCACAATTTTACAACAAACGTTTACATACGTTTTCTCAAGTGTAAACACCCAGCAACACAGTCATGTTGTTTTAAAAGCACATTGGCAGAAATGTAAACACAAGTCACAGGATTGAAAGGATGGGAGAAAACCATTTGCAGTATTTGAGATTGCAGAACCAGATTTTTAGCATTATTTATTCTTTCCTATCAGGTAGGATCCAAGTTTTGCCAATCTGCGGATCATGGTGTTTGAGACACGGGAGTTCCGTGGCCTGCTTGCCGTCATGCAGTGGGGGAGCCACCCTAGATACAAAGCATCCTGAAGCCTTGGCCACTGCCTTCTGTCCACCACACCTCACTGTCTTTTAATGTCCCCTAGACAAAGACCCTGTACATTTTTAGGCTCCTCCTGAGCTTGTCAGATGGGGAGAAGGGACCATGTCTCAGGAGCCCACCAAGCCGTGAGATCCCTCATATCTGGCTTGGCACATGGTGACACCCCATCAGGCGAGCATGCAGCACACGCTACCCAGGCCCAGATCCTGCCTGCCTGAGATGAACTTCCTGGTTAGTCTCAAAATCTGGCAGCATTGGCCGGGCACGGTGGGTGGCTCATACCTGTAATCCCAGCACTTTGGGAGGCCAAGGTGGGTGGATCACTTGAGGTCAGGAGTTCGAGACCAGCCTGGCCAACATGGCGAAACCCTGTCTCTACCAAAAAATACAAAAATTAGCCAGGCGTGGTGGCGCACGCCTGTAATCCCAGCTACTTGGGAGGCTGAGGCAGGAGAATTGCTTGAACCTGACAGGCGGAGGTTGCAGTGAGCTGAGATTGTGCCACTGCACTCCAGCCTGGCGACAGAGCAAGACTCCATCACACACACACACACACACACACAAAAGTGGCAGTTTCAGTGTCCTACAGGAATAGGTACCCTCCAAGTCTCACCTGTGCCCCCACTTCTCCTGTGTGCACATTTGTCAGCAGGTGCAGAGGTGTACAGTCCCGCTTATCACAACTGCTCTAAACAGGACAGTGCAGCTGGGGTTTGAGAGGGGGCTGCCTGTGTGCTCCATCGCGCCAAAGGGAAAACCGCACACAGATCTGGCACCTGTTGGTTTAGTTTATGAAGGTAAGGAATCCGGTGAAGAGACCCAAAGTGGCCTCCTCGTGGTCCAGGGAATAGGGGAAACCAGCAAGCGTTTGGGTTTAATTAGGCCAAGGGTTGGGTGGGATGAAGGTGGAAGCTGAGGGTGCAGGCCTGCAGGGCTGGAGAAGGCGGGGCTGAGTTGAGGACCCCTGTGCCCGCCTCACCATCACAGGGAAAGGGAGGAGAGGCATCTTGCCACCTGTAAGCTGGCTCTGCCATTTCACTTTAGAAAGCTCAGGATAAGCGGGGCGCGGTGGCTCACGCCTGTAATCCCAGCACTTTGGGAGGCTGAGGCGGGTGGATCGCCTGAGGTCAGGAGTTTGAGGCCAGCCTGGCCAACATAGTGAAACTCTATCTCTGCTAAAAATACAAAAAAATTAGCTGGGCATGGTGGTGGGTGCCTGTAATCCCAGCTACTAGGGAGTAGGGAGGCTGAGGCAGGAGAATTACTTGGAACCCAGGAGGCGGAGGTTGCAGTGAGCTGAGATCATGCCACTGCACTCCAGCCTGGGCAACAAGAATTAAATTGTCTCAAAAAAAAAAAAAAAAAAAAAAAAGAAGAAGAAAAGAAAAAGCAAGCAAGCAAGCTCAGGCTAATTCCCATCTCCCTGGTTGTGAGCACCCCTGGGCTTCTACAGTGACCTCTTCTGGGCAGAGGCCTACCAGGTGAGCCAGAAGGTACAATGTTGAAGAAAATAGTTTCTGACCCCATTTCCAGAGCACAGAGGAGGCGAGGGGGTGAGATGCCCACAGGTGACTGACAGCACAAGTCAGCCTTCGTCCCTGGGCTCCACAGAGGCCTGCCCTGGTGCTGTCCCACCTTCGGGAGAGGTGGCTCCCCGGCTCCCCCTAAGACCATCTTCCAACCCTCCTGCCCCTCAAGGTTGCTCTAGGCAGCCAGGTATCCTGCTAGCAAACCCCTTTCCCCAATGATGGCCCAGACGGAACTCTTAATAAAAAAAAATAATTTATTGTCAACAAAGGTGATATATACAACAGGAAAACAGATGTAAATGAGAACAGGAGTGAATGGGGTGCCCAGGCCCGGCTTCAGGCCTCTGCAGGGGTGGGGCAGGAAGAGGTAATGGAGGCCTCCTGGTTTAGGAGCCTGAACAAGTGGGGAGGGGAGGTGTCCCCCGAGGTAGTGGGACTCAGTTCAAACCCCCTTATGACCACTCTTGTGTAAGGCACTGTGCCAAGGGAGAATGGTGGGGAGCGGGGGGAGGGTGGGAGGAGGTCACGGGGGACAGAGAGGTGGGGGTCAGCGAAGGACTGGGGTAGGTGTTCTCCACAGGCCCAGTGCCCTACTGCACAACAGCCTCAACCACCCTTGCCGACCTCAGGCCTGGCCAGGAACAGACACTTTTCAGTGCCCCGAAATAACAGTGGATGTTGCCCCAGCCCCCTCCTGCCCTGGCACTTGTTTCTACTCTCTCCACCAGATGGGTGAGCCAGGCAGCTCTGAGTTATAAGCCACAGGGGGACGCTGCCTCCTCCCTCCCCCCCTCCCTCCCTCCCCAGGAAAGCAAGAATTTACACCCCATTCCCTTTCTCTGGCTTCCCCGCCACAGTGGTGCTGGATTCTGACAGAACCGTGGGCCAGTCTGAGGTGTCACCTGCTCCCACACGCTTGGTGCCCTGGGGGTGCCTGGACCAGTCTTGCAGGAGGCTGACCGCTGGGGGCTCCTCCATCCGCACGCGGATAACCTGGAGATCCAGTGTCCCGCGGAGCCCCGGAGGGGGAGCTGGGCAGGGATGAGAGCAGAGAGCAGTCAGAGCCTCCCAGACACCCCACCACGAGGATGCTCCCTGGAAGCTCTGCAAACTGTACCCCCATTTCCAGGGCTTTCATTATGTCCACAGCCCAGTGCCTGGCATGAGGGGAAGTCCAAGGATGGCAGGAAGCTCCACTCCTGGGTGATCAAGGACTGCCACCGGCTAGAAAATGAGGCTCACAGCCTCCCTAGGGATAAGCCACATGAAGCCAGGCAGCCTTCCTCCTGCGTGTATTTCGGCACAGGGTGCCTGGTGCTGCGTGCCTCTCCCCGTAACTCCTACCTGCAGCCAACTCCATTTTATCTCAAACTTACTGGGCATCCTAGCCTAACGCGTTCTGCCTGAGTGGGGCAGAGGTGATGCGGTGGGAACACCCAGAACAAATCTGAGGCATAGCTGTGCCCACCAAGGAGTTCATGAGGGACTGCACAGGGTGGAGAAAAGACCCCTGGTGAACTTCCACCAGGCTCTTCATCTCCTGAGTGTCAACACCGACATCACCAAGATCAGGCGTCCACCTTAGCAGTATGGAGAAGGCACTCACTGGCCTCGAGGCAGACGAAAGAGGACTGAGGACTGCCGTGGCTGCACGCAGCCATAAAAACCAAGCATGCAATAGGGATGTGTGCAAAAGTTACGTTACAATAGGGCTGGGCATGGTGGCTCCTGCTTGTAATCCCAGCACTTTGGGAGGCGAAGGTGAGCAGATCACTTGAGGTCAGGAGTTTGAGACCAGTCTGGCCAACACAGAGAAACCCTTTATCTACTAAAATACAAAGAAATCAGGCAGGCATAGTGGTGCACCCCTCTAATCCCAGCTACTCGGGAGGCTGAGGCGGGAGAATTGCGTGAACCCAGGAGGCAGAGGTTGCAGTGAGCCAAGATCACGCCACTGCACTCCAGCCTGGAAGACAGAGCAAGACTGTCTCAAAAAAAAAAAAAAAAAAAAAAGTTACATTACATTGAAAGGCAAAAACAGAAAATGGTGATTTCAACTACTGCACTGTCTATATTGGGAAGGATTCATTTGTGTGTGTTCCTTTTCTACCCTGTTTTTAGAGACACGATTATTTACAATGTGGCAGAGAAAACAGGTACAATTTTGCTGTGCAATGTGCTGGAATTTAAAATGACTTAGTGGCTGCCACGGAATTTTTAACACCTACCAAATTCTATTCTGTGTTCCCAGAAGCTGGTTTGTCTCCCCGATAAACTATATGCTCCCTGAAGGAACACTGAATCCCATTTGTTCATTAATTCGACAATAATTCATTGAGCACTATCTGCCCAAGGCTGTTTGGATTGCCAGGGGTACAGCGGTGAATGGAGCTGCCTAAGTGGCCTTCTGGGACTTCACATTCTAGTTATCAGAGCCAATAAATAGGATAAACAAATAAAAAATGCAGTATGTTATATATGGACAGACGCAAAGTAGCAAAGTACACCAGGGAAAGGAGATAGGATAGCAGAGAGCTGACAGGGGACTGGAGACACAGAGGGAGTGAGGAGCCAGCTGGGCAGACGGGTGAAGAAACAATATTTTGAGCACAGGGAAGAGCAAATGTGGACCCCCTGGTGGAGCACGCTGGCTTCCCCAGGAACAGCAAGGCCAGCGCCTGTGCAGGGAGTGGGGTGTGGGGTAGAGGTCAGGAGCCTGGGGGGAGCACACTGGTCACCATGAAGGCTCTGGCTTTTATCTGGAGTGCAACAGGAAGGCCGGGAGTAGAGGAGTGACTGGATCTGACTTGTGTTCTCAGTAGGGACACTCTGGCTGCTACAGGAGAGCAGAGGATAGCGGGCAAAGCTCAGCAGCCAGGAGACCTGGCTTAGCTTTGTTACAGGAACCAGGTGAGAGCAGGCCCCGACTAGGGCAGTGGCAGTGGATGTGGTGACAGCAGTGTGAGCTCTGAACTTGTTTTGGAGGATCGACTGCTGGACAGATGCTGGGTTGGACAAAGAAGAGGATGACTGTGTGGGTGTGGCCACAGCAAACTGAAGCCTGGGGCTGCCTGTTCACCGGGAAAGGGAAGATTGTGGAGTCTGTGGGTGGGGTGCATTGGGGAGACTGGGGGTTCCGTTTCAATGTGCCGAGATTTTTTTTTTTTTTTGAGGCAGAGTCTCACTCTGTCGCCAGGCGGGAGTGCAGTGGCACAATGTTAGAGATCTTTTAGACAACCATGTAGAGACGTCACCTGGGCAACTGGAAAAGAGGATGGAACCAGGAGGGAGCAGCCAAGGTGGGCACTATGAGCACACACATGGCATCGAAAGCTGTGAACCTGGATGAGATCTCCCAGGGAGCGCGTACGGACACTGACCTATGGCTGGGGATACTTAAGCACTTACTCATTCACCAAACACATAAGCTGGGCCTATGCTGTGCCAGGCACTGTTCTGGCTACTGTGCGTATCACAGTACAGGAAGCAAACACCGTAACCTGCAGACCCTTACATTCTAGAAAGGGAAAGGCAGACAATGGTATGACATGTTCCAACTCTGGGAGCTGAGAAGGAGCGGCAAGAGAAACTGAGAAGGAACAGCTAGTGAGGGAAGAAGAACACCAGGCGAACAGCTGCCTGAAAAGCCAAGGGAAGAAAGCTGTCTCCAGGAAGGAGTGATCAGCCCACTGTAACCGCCAGATCAGAAAGAGAAGGACCGGCCAGGCGCGGTGGCTCACGCTTGTAATCCCAGCACTCTGGGAGGCCGAGGCAGGCGGATCACCTGAATTCAGGAGTTTGAGACTAGCCTGACCAACATGATGAAACCCTGTCTCTACTAAAAATACAAAATTAGCTGGGTGTGGTGGCGCATGCCTGTAATCCCAGCTACTTGGGAGGCTGAGGCAGGAGAATCGCTTGAACCCAGGAAGTGGAGGTTGCAGTGAGCTGAGATCGCACCACTGCACTTCGGCCTGGGCGACAAGAACGAAACTCCATCTCAAAGAAAAAAAAAAAAAAGGACTGCCAGGCACGGTGGCTCATGCCTGTAATCCCAGCACTTTGGGAGATCGAGGCAGGTGGATCACAAGGTCAGGAGTTTGAGACCAGCCTGGCCAACACAGTGAAACCTCGTCTCTACTAAAAATACAAAAATTAGCTGGGCGTGGTGGCAGGCGCCTGTAATCCCAACTACTTGGGAGGCTGAGGCAGGAGAATCATGTGAAACTAGGAGGTGGAGGTTGCAGTGAGCCGAGATCATGCCACTGCACTCCAGCCTGGGCAACAGAGCTAGACTCCGTCTCGGGAAAAAAAAAAAAGAAAGAGAAGGACCAAGAACAGACTATTGAATTTTATGGAAGTCAACGGCGACCTTGCCAAAGGAGCAATTTTCGTGTGGAGTGCTGAGGATGAATTCCAGAGAGATGGGAGGCAGCTGCTACAGAAAACACAGTCCGGCTTTACTGAAAAGGTACAGGGACAAATGAGACAGTGGCTACAGGGACAAGGGGCTAAGAAGGAAGAAATAATAACTTTGTATAGGCTGATAGGGAAGACCCAGGGGGCAGTGTGACAAGGGGGAGGTAGGATGAGCTTTAGTGACGAGGACAGGGGCTAGCTTTTGCTAGGAGCAGTTCAGTTACATGAGCTAGAGAGAAGGCATGGAATTCAGCCTGGGTGCTGGAGGGAAGGGAGTTGGGGGCAGGGGACACTGCTCGAAGGCAAGGTTCTGAGTGGGCAGAGTGGAAATACACCAGGCTGCCAGGTGTAATGGCTCACGCCTGTAATCCCAGCACTTTGGGAGGCTGAGGTGGGCAGATCATTTGAGGTCAGGAGTTCAAGACCAGCCTGGCCATCATGGTGAAACCCCGTCTCTACTAAAAATACAAAAATTAGCCGGGTGTGGTGGCGGGCGCCTATAAGGCAGGAGAATCACTTGAACCTGGGAGGCGGAGGTTGCAGTGAGGCTAGATTGCACCATTGCACTCCAGCCTGGGTGACAGAGACTCCGTCTCAAAAAACAAACAAACAAACACCCCTGTGAAACTCACACTCACACTTATGTACACGCATGCTCGCTCTCTCACTCCGCTACCTCCCTGGTCCAGCCTGCAACATAGGATCTGGCCAAGGTATCCTAAGCCAGATCCCTAGGTTCTACTCAAACTAACATCAGTGAGGGCCACGCGCGGTGGCTCATTCCTGTAATCCCAGCACTTTGGGAGGCCGAGGAGGGCGGATCACGAGGTCAGGAGATCGAGACCATCCTGGCTAACACGGTGAAACCCCATCTCTACTAAAAATACAAAAAATTAGCCGGGTGTGGTGGTGGGCGCCTGTAGTCCCAGCTACTTGGGAGGCTGAGGCAGGAGAATGGCGTGAACCCGGGAGGTGGAGCTTGCAGTGAGCCGACATCGTGCCACTGCACTCCAGTCTGGGTGACAGAGCGAGACTCCGTCTCAAAAAGAAAAAAAAGAAAGAAAAAGAAAAACACCAGCGAGACAGAGAGGCTCCTCTTTCCATTACTTGTCAGTGGGTCACTGTGGCCCACCTCCTCTCCTGGCCTGGATACTGTCCCCATCCTTCTCCGGCAAGGTCCTTAGAAAGTTCTAGTCTTCCCGGACCACCTCACATTCACATTCATCAGCTCAGCTAACCTGACCATGGGTGGCCTTTTCCAACTGTTAAATCCATGATTTTTACACCTCTAATGTTTTTTAAAGTGTCAGGATCTTTATTTAAATAAAGTCTTCAGAGAACTTCAATACGTACATAACAACACATAAAGTAGAGACATTCTGGTCGAAGCCTCACAGGTTTCTGAGAAATCTGTCCAAGCTTTGGGTTCGTGAGACCATCTGAAACCACAGGTCCAGAGCCTCTGCTCTGCAAAGAACCGCCACAGGGGCTGTGGTTTTTAAAGATTTACTGCCTCCAGCCTAAACTCCTGGACACAGAGTTTTGGAGGACAAAGGCTGTCTCACTCTCGCCATCTCCCAGGGTGCTTCCCTTGGGCACAGCCTCCAGGAACACTTGTGAATCACTTAGGTCTCTTCTGTGGTTTCCCAAGCATCTCCAGCCTCCATGAAGGCTGCCACTGCTGACAACACCCGACAATCGCCTCTGCCCCTCTCAGATCACTCAAGCAGCCTGCTGAAGCCCCTTCCTCTCAGACTTTGCCCACTCACCCCAAAGAAACCTACAATCTCAGGGATTCTCTTCTCATCTACTCACCACTCCAGATAGGTGGAGTTTGCGCACAGGGTACCCCAGGACTCGAAATGAAGGCTCCCTTTCGAGAATGAAACCAGAAGACCCATTAGACAGTGGAAGAGGTCAGCCATTTAGAGCAGGGATCCACCGGAGAGAACCAGGAGACTCGGGACACGTTCAAGTCCAAGCAGCACACACGGTCTCAGGGAGCCAGGAATGGAATGTGACTCAAGCTGAAACTTGAGACAGTTAAAACTGTGATCTATGTGAAGGGGTGAGGCCTGCCTCGAGATCAGAAAAAGGGGGGCCCAAATTTAGGCAAATAAATAAAAGCAACTACGCACACATGCGAACACACAGAGAGCTCTCTCTGAAGGATACCAACCAAATTAAGAGTATTATAGCAGTGAACACAAAGAAAAACCTTGTGAGGGGTGAGTGAAGTGTCACTAAAGGAGTGTATAATATGCTGACTTTTTTTTGGTTTTTTTTGTTGTTGTTGTTTTGTTTTTTGAGACCGTCTAGCTCTGTTGCCCAGGCTGGAGTACAGTGGTACAATCTGACTGGAGTACAATCAGAATTTATTGCAGCCTCAAATTCCTGGGCTCAAGTGATCCTCTTGCCTTAGGCTCTAGCCTTAGTAGGGACTAGAGGTGCACACCAACATGTCCAGTTAATTTTAAAATTTTTCTATAGAGATGGAGTCTCCTTATGTTGCTCAGGTTGGTCTCGGATGCCTAGCCTCAGGCAATCTTCCCACTTTGGCATCATCCGAAAGTGCTGGGAATGACAGGTGTGAGCCACTGTGCCTAGCCAAGGCTTTTTTCTTTATGCAAAAAAGCACACCTGTCATCCCAGAACTTTGGGAGGCCCAGGTTGGAGGATTGCTTGCGCCCAGGAGTTGGAGACCAGCTTGGGCAACACAGGGAAAACCTGTCTCTACAAAAAATTTAAAAATTAGCCTGGTGTGGAGATGCAAGCCTGTGGACCCAGCTACTCAGGAGGCTCTGGCAGGATAGTTTGAGCCTGGGAGTTTGAGGCTGCAGTGAGCTATGATGGCGCCACTGTACTCCAGCCTGGGCAGGGTCTCTATCTCTTTTTTTTTTTTTTTTGAGACGGAGTCTCGCTCTACCGCCCAGGCTGGAGTGCAGTGGCCGGATCTCAGCTCACTGCAAGCTCCGCCTCCCGGGTTCACGCCATTCTCCTGCCTCAGCCTCCCGAGTAGTTGGGACTACAGGTGCCTGCCACCGTGCCCGGCTAGTTTTTTGTATTTTTTAGTAGAGACGGGGTTTCACCGTGTTAGCCAGGATGGTCTCGATCTCCTGACCTCATGATCCGCCCGTCTCGGCCTCCCAAAGTGCTGGGATTACAGGCTTGAGCCACCGCGCCCGGCCTTAGGGTCTCTATCTCAAAAAACAAAAACAAAAACAAAAACAAAAGCACATCTGCTTTTCGAGAGCCCTATTCTCAGGAGAGCCTCCAGCCACCTCGTTGGCCATCATCTATGGCTCTAGTTCCAAACACACATTTCAGACAAGTTGGTACAAGGAGACATGCACCCCTGACCCACTCACTTCTTCAAGAAGCATTTCCTGACCGCCTATAAACTATGCTTGGCATGGAGAGGTGAACAGACGACTAGGCTCGGTCTCTGCCCTGCTGGACTACATTCCAGGCTCATCCTAATTCTGTCTGCTGGGTCACGTGTGGTTGGCAGAACGATGCCCCTCACCCCCCACCAGATGTTCATGTTCTAATCCCTGGAACCTGTGAATGTTTTGTTACATGGCAAAGGGGAATGAAGGCTACAGATGAAATTAAGGTTGCTCATCAGCGGACTAAAAAAGAGATTATCCTGGACTATCTGAGTGAGCCCAATATAATCATGAGGGTCCTTGAATGGGGAAGACGCAGATAAGCCGGAACCCAGGGCAGTATCTGAGAAAGACTCTACTAGCCTCTGCTGGCTTTGAAGATGGAAGGAGGCCACAAGCCAAGAAATGCAGGCAGCCTCTAGGAGCTGGGCAAGGCAAGAAAATAGATTTTCCCCTAGAGCTTCCAGGAAAGAACATAGCCCTGCCAACACCTTCGATTTTAGCTCAGTGAGACCCATTTTGGACCTCTGACCTCCAGAATTGTGAAATAAATTTGTGTTTTGTTTTGATTTTAGGGAGGGTCTCATTCTGTCGTCCAGGCTGGAGTGCAGTGGTGTGATTGTAGCTCATTGCAGCCTTGAACTCCTGGGCTGAAGTAATCTTCCTGTCTCAGCCTCCCAAGTGGCTGGGACTACCGGCACAAGCCATGTGTGTTGTTTCAAGCCACTACATTTGTGTGATTTGTTACAGCAGCAAATAGGAAACTGACATAAGGACCATGGGGAAGAAGGAACCATTTCTTTGAGAAATGGTTTTCCCTTTTGGAAAAAGGAATGGACATCTGCCTTTCTCTACAAGGTATTTTTGTAAGGGCCAAATAAACTATATGTAACTTCTTTTTTTTTTTTTTTGGAGACAGACTTTCACTCTGTTGCCCAGGCTGCGTGCAACAGATCTCACTGCAACTTCTACCTCCCAGGTTCAAGCGATTCTCCTGCCTCAGCCTTCCAAGTAACTGGGATTAGAGGTGCCTGCCACCATGCCTGGTGATGTGCCCGCCTCTGCCCACCTCAGCCTCCCAAAGTGCTGGGATTCCAGGCGTGAGCCACCGCGCCTGGCCTTGTATGTAAGCTTCTTAAACTCAGTAGGACACCAAACAACACAAGCACCTACGGCTATTATGAGGCAATTTACTGAGCTGGTGTCCCCTGGAGGTGTCTGTCCACTGCTCGTCTCGTCTATTCCCTGGACATCTAACTGAATTGTTGAGTGGCCCCATCTGGGCCTCAGCACCACCAAGGTAAGGTGGGCACCCCTCAGGCTCTAGCTAGAACAAACTGCCTGTATGGAAATCAGTATCAGTCTCCTGGGAAACACTGGCCTTGGTCATTGGAAATCCAATGACCAATTCCAGGAAACAAGGAAACACTAAGAAAAGCCCACCTGGCCAGGTGTGGTGGCTCACACCTGTAATCCTAGCACTTTGGGAGGCTGAGGCAGGTGGATCACCTGAGGTCAGGAGTTTGAGACCAGCCTGGCCAACATGGCAAAACCCTGTCTCTACTAAAAATACAAAATTTAGCCAGGCGTGGTGGCGCACACCTGTAATCTCAGCTACAAGGGAGGGTGAGGCAGGAGAATTGCTTGAACCTGGGAGGCAGAGATTGTAGTGAGCTGGGCTTGCACCACTACACGCCAGCCTGGGCAACAGAGCAAGATTCCGTCTCAAAAAACAAACAAAAAAAGAAAAGCTCAGCTTTCGGGCCAGCCTCCCTCATCATTCAGATCCCCCTGTCCCGGCCCCGTGTCCCAGGAAACCTGGGCACCACCCACCCCTACCCTGGGCTCTGCCACAGAGCAGCCTCGTGGAGGCCCAGCCCAGGAGCGCTGCCTGAGAGGCCTCCACTGTGCTTCCCTCTCAGGAGGGCTCACCTGGAGAGGGGCTCTCTGCCTGGGGAAGGCCTCCTTCTGCCTCTTCCCTGTCTTTGGGTGAGTCCTTGCTGTCTGGGCCCCTGAGCTGGGTGTGGGAGAAGAGCTGCAGGACGAAGCCGGCGGGGAAGCTGCCATCAGTGAAGTGTCGGACCTCGGCTGGTGCTGCGAAAGTCTCTGTGGGTGAGTCTGGCGATGGGGGCTCTGGAAGGGAGGACAGGATGGAACTGTGAGTGAAAAAGCCTCAGGAGCTGCAGGCGCCCTGTGCCCGAGCCCTGCTCCATCCTCACTGACGCGGATCTCCTCAGAGCACCCGCCAGAGCCCATGCCTCCCCCGGGCCTCCCCTTCACCTGGGTCAGGGTCCAGGTTTTTGGTCATAGGTCTGCCTCTTTTCTTTCTGACTGGCTCTTCCCCCAGGGGCTCCTTCCATCTCTGACCACGGGGCTTCTTATTTCCTGGCTCTGTGGCAGGGACAGCTGCAAAAAGAAAAGACCTCATACCCTTTTCTAGGAGGCCATCCTCAAACCCTGCCACCCCAGGGGAAGATACTTGCCCAGAACACAGGGCCTGTATTTCACCCTGTCCCCAAACCCCCACCTCCACCGGGGCTCACTGGCTTTTCTGCTGACTAACCAGGAAGCTCGAGGGGACGGAGTCCCCTGGGCCGGCTCCTTTTAGGGAGGGATGGGTTATCCTCAGAGTCAAGGAGAACGACGATTTCGGCTGGCATTCTGGCAGGGTCTGGGTTGGAGTCTGGGTCTGGATGGGCATCCTGGCCTGAGTCTGCAGGGAGCAAGAGCACAATGAGCTTCCAGTGCCCCAACAAATCCGACTTCTCCCTTGGCCCACCCCAGGCCCAACTACCTGAGTTGGGTGGGGACGGCTGCTCAGCTCTCACGTCTTGCAAGAGGGCTACCCCTTCACTCCAGGCCTCCAGGATGTTGCTCTTCTCAGAAGGGCTCAGGTCCAAGGTGTGAGGGTGCTGCTCCAAGATGTGTGTGCGAGCCGTGTCGGCCGAGGGTGCCCGGATCTCAGCGCCACACACCATGCACAGCGCCCGCCCGCTGCCTCCTGGGCTGCTGCCCACCAGGAACTCCTGCTCCCAAGACACTTGCTGCTTGGGCTCCTCACAGCCATCACTGCCTGCCTCCAGTGGGCTGGGTCTAGGTGGTGGGGTCTTCTCCTGTTGGGTCACTGCGAGGGGAGAGGGGAAGGGTGTAATCACGAAAGGTGCCCACAACCAACAGCACTTAGCACGTCTCTAGACTCGGTGGTTTGAGTGGGATGGGGGAGGAGAGCATTTCTGTCCAAAGTGTTCTTCTTCCTTCCCCTGGAGCCCACGAGGCACACACCACACTCAACACAGCCAATGTGCCTGGGATCCCACGACCCTCGTGTCTATACTTCCTCTTGATCTAGTCTTGGACCTTAGGATTACACATACTTTCCCAACAGGCTGCGTTCTTGCAGGTCTCCAGCTTTTGCACATCTGTCCAGACCACCGATTTGGCTGGGCAACGTTGTCCCTGCGAAGCTTTCTGGAAACCCAATCCCTGACAATAGATTTCATCCACATCTGACTTCTACGCTTTCTTGAGGGTGAGGAAGGTAAATTCTTTTAATTTTTAAATGTTATTTATTTTGAGACAGAGTCTCACTTTGTCACCCAGGCTGGAGTGCAATGGTGCAATCTCAACTCATTGCAGCCTTGACCTCCTGGGTTCAAGCGATCCTCCTGCCTCAGTCCCCCAAGCACCTGGGACTACAGGTGAGTGCCACCATGCCTGGCTAATAATTTTTTTTTTTAAAGAGATGGGGGACTCATTTTGTCACCCAGGTTGTAGTACAGTGGTGTTATCATAGCTTACTGCTGCCTTGAACTCCTGGACTCAAGGGACCCTCCAGCCTTAGGCACCTGACTGGCTAGGGCTACAGACAGATGCATGCTATCACACCCAGCTAATTCACAACAACAAAAATTTTGTTTAACAGATGGGGTGTTGCTCCGTTGCCCAGGCTGGTCTTGAACTCCCGGGCTCAAGCAATCCTCCTGCTTCAACCTCCCAAAGTGCTGGGATTATAGGCATGAGCCACCGTGCCCGTTCTAAAAGCCACCCCGTCCCCTCAGAACTAGCCTCCCTTCTCAGTGCTCACAGAGCACTTACAGCCATGGTTCCACTCCAGTTGCTGCCTGATACCTGCTCTTTGTGCACACAGACCATAAGCTCTCACAGAGCATCAGCCCTTTCCAGTTCAGCAAGGAAGGCAGCCTTAGACCTGCATCAGCCTGGAAGCTCAGTGCTTTTACGAAGTGCCCATGATCCTTCACGGCTGCATCTCTCTCCTACCCTCCAGAGAGGATGGGACAAAATTAAAACACAGGAGGCCCTAATACCTGGGGGCTGCATGGAAGAGGTGGTATTAGAAATAGGAGCCTCGGCCTGCATGGATACAAGAGGTGGTGTCTGAAAGAGATACGAGATACGCCTTCTACCTATCTCTCATGCGACCATGGGCAGAAAACCTGACCTCTCAGGTGCAATCGGCTTTCTTCCCTACCAGTCCTCCAAAACAGCTCTCGCCCAAGTCAGCAGCGCTAAACTCTGTGCTCAGTTTCTCAACTTCGTCCTCTACCCATCACTTCTTCCATCTTGATTTTCATCACTTGCGTCTAGGGCATGACCTTCTGTTGGTTCTTCTTTTGCTTCCCTGGCACTCTTTCTCAGTTACGGGTGCTGGTTCTTCCTCATCTCTTCTCAATATTCCCTCTCTTCCTCTGCGTTGTTGCTGAAGAACCATCTCCCCTCACCAGAGCACCCCATTCCCCTTATGGATCATCTCCAACACAGCACACATCACCACCTGATACTTGTTTTTGGGATGTTCACTGCTTGTCTCCTCACCACACCATAGAATCCATGACCATGGCCAGGCGCGGTGGCTCACACCTGAATCCCAGCACTTTGGGAGGCCGAGGCAGGCGGATCACCTGAGGTTGCAAGTTCGAGACCAGCCTGAGCCACAGGGAGAAACCCCATCTCTACTAAAAATACAAAATTAGCTGGGTGTGGTAGCGCATGACTGTAATCCCAGTTACTCGGGAGGCTGACGCAGGAGAATCACTTGAACCCGGGAGGTAGAGGTTGTGGTGAGCCGAGATTGTGCCATTGCACTCCAGCTTGAGCAAAAAGAGAGAAACTCCATCTCAAAAAAAAAAAAAAAAAAAAAGAGAATCCATGACCACACAGATTTCTGATGTTTTACATCCGTATCTCTGGCATCTGTATCTGTATCTCCCGGCATGCAGTGACATTTAGTAATGTGTGATAAGGGACTGACTCGGTTTCCAACCTGCCATCACTGGAGTTTCCCAGGACTCAGTTCTTACACACTTCTCTACTTCCCTCTCATCCCACTGTCTGCCTGCTGGCAATTTCCGTTTACGCCACTAGCCAGATACTCCCAGGAAATCTAGGCTCATGTATCTGACTGCTTAGTTGACCTCTCCACTTGAATATGTCATAAATAGGCATCTCAAACTTAATTATATTCAAACTTTCATTCCCAGTTTCCCATGAGCACCGCAGCCTTCCCCATCTCAGAAAATGGGAAGGCTGTTCCTCCAGTTGCTCAGGCCAAAAACCTTGAATTCAATCTTTCTTCCACTCTCCACTGAAATCTTTCCAGCAGCTTGTGCTGCCGGACCTTTGCACTTGCTATTCGGCCTGAAATGCTCTTCCTGCAGATACCTGCAAGGTTGGCATCCTCACTTCCTTTGGGTCTGTGCTCAAAATTCACCTTATTAGAGAACACTTTCTGAACCACTCGATATATCCAATTAAACACCCATTCCCCCTTTCTCCTTGTCCTGCTTCAGTGATCTCTGAACCATTTATTGCCACCCAACATACTATACATGAACCTATTTCTCTGTCTTTAGCCATTGGTATATATATGTTCTTCAAGAGTAAGGTTTCAGCTGCTCTGTTTACTGCTACTACTTCCCAGCCTAAAAACACTAGCCTAAACAGCCTAAAGTAGACGTCCAGTGAATATTGGTTGAATGAATTCACCTGTCTATTCCCACCCTAACAGTGGGGGTAAGGCCACCCTTGCAGGGTTGAGAGGATTAACTGAGACAGCCTCTGACAATGCCCAGTGAACACTCAGCAAATATTAGCAGAAGTAGGAAAACAACCTGTCTTTTGGACTACATGCTCCGAGAAGGGAGGTGACCTTTATTTCCCTCATGAATTTTATAACCCTTCCAGTTCCAAAAAGGATGAGAGGCAGTGCAGACAGACATCATTCTGTTCGGCTGAGGTTCAATGAATGGCCTTGCTGCTCTCAACCTCTTCTGGGTACTGTCCCCCCAAAGAAAAGGCGGGTGGGAGAATGGAAAGATATTTGCATTTTCATGCATATTAAGTCTCCCACAAAGATGGCTCTTTGTTTTCTTATGGTTTGCAAGTTCCTGAGGACTAGAAATCGGCGAAGGGGGAGGGGAGAGCGAGTGTTCTCAGACTGTTCTTCCCATCCCCTCCCAAAGCTAATCTCATTCTAGCACTGCACTGCTTTTCCAAACTAGCTGTTGTATGCAGTCCCATTCATCCCTTCTCTCCAGAACCTGACACCTGTGGCTCCTGCAAGTGGAAGGCCCGGGAATGGGGATGAAGCGGGGTGGTGGGCAGGAAAGTCATGCTCGGGGAGTCCTTAAAATTCTCCTGGAGGTCGGCAGCGGCGCCCGCCTGTAGCCTCGGGCCTATAGGCTTCGCCGCCCCTCGGCCTAGAACACAGCCCGGCCGTTGTGCTTGCGTGAGACGGCGGCCTCAACCACCCAGCGCCTCTGGGGATCCGGCCTCCGGTGCTGGGCCCGGGAGAGGGGGCGCCTGGGCACCGGAAGATCCGGAGCGTGCGGGGCGTGGATCGAAGTCTCCAGACCCTGGGCGGGGGAAAGGGGGAGGGAGGGGAAAATCGGGGAGGCCTGAGCTTCCAAACCATGGTGGGGGAGGTGCAAGAGCGCGTCCTGGACCCAGATCCGAGAGGGAAGCCTGGGCCCCAGGATGAAGGGGATGAGAAGGTGCCCGGGTCGCGGACCCGACTGGGGAGGGACGGCCCCGGCCCCGCACCGTGACGCGGAAGTGGGATCCCCTCCATCCTCACCTCTGAGCATCGGCTCGGGCCGCGGAATTACGGCCACCACCATGGCCTCCTCCTCGTCCTCCCCTTCCTCGCATTTGAGCGTCACCTCGAAGCAGTCGAGTGCGGCGCCCTCGGCCTTTAGGGCCATGGTGCGGCTGTGGGCGATAGCGGTGGCCGGAGAACTGGCGCGCAGGCTTCGCCGCGTAGCCGGCAACCGCCTCCCGCCTCCTGGCCGGAACAACGCCGGGCCCGCTGCCCGCTCCGCGCAGCCCCCTCCCCGCCACCTGCCCGCCTGCCGCTCGCCGGCCGGCGCTGCGACCGGCGCGTCCGGGCCTCCCCGAGACCTCGGCGCGTCGGGAGCCCGGGCGGGGAGGGCTCAATCCGGGGCCCCTGCCCCCCGCCGCTCCCTTTTATGGAGGCTCATTGTCGGCGCCCGCCCGGCCGGCCAGCCGCGGACCCGCCCCCGATCCCGCGCGACCAATCGCGCGTGGCCCCGCCCCGGGCACGCGGCCCCGTTGGAATCCCTCGACCCAGGAGGCGGCGGGAAGGGCCGAGCGGACCCGGGGCCGCCCAGTGCGCGGAGGCAGAGGGGCCCCCAAAACCCGCACCGCGGACGTCTTAGTCGACTGGCCAAGCCCGGGGGTTTCCCTCCGTTCAGAAGTCAGTTGGGCATTTCTGCTGGCGTGGAGAGCGCTACCAGGTGCCCCCGGATTTTGATCCGGAGTCGCTTTTGCCTTTCCGTGGACAAGCCTTCCTCCGCCAGCAGATGCCCCGGGCAGGAAGAGAAGCGGTGGGGGAGTGGAAAGGGCCTTGGTATGGAAGCGTAGAGACCGAATTCCTTCTCATGTGCCGGCTCTGTGGCCATGGGCACATTATCTGTTTTATTAGACCGGCTCATCGTTTCTTTCAAAAAGCATTTCGGACCTTTCTGGGAAGGCAAAGAAGAGGAGCGGAGTGGACTGTGAGCGGACATAAACCACCCCGATGGGTATGATTTCCATTTTTTACACGTGAGTCCAGAGATTTTGTGACCCTCTCCAAGGACATACAGCAATCCCTTGAGAGCCCCAAGACCAGAGTCCAGTTGCCATGACATTGCTTCCCTATAACCACACTCTGGGTGAGCTTTTACTTCTGTGACATGGAATGTGCATCTCCCTCTTCTATAGCAACCCTCATGAGATTTCAGCTCAGAAAATGCAAAATGTCTGACACTGAAAAAACATCTTCAAATGTCGTTATATCAAACCAGACACAGTAGTATTCAGAATCGCGTAGTAGGATGGGGGTATGAGAAGAGGTGTGAACTAGTCTATATGGATTGCAGTCAATTTTTTTTATTATTATTATTTTGAGACAGAATCTCCCTCTGTCACCAGGTTGGAGTGCAGTGGCGCCATCTTGGCTCACCACAACCTCCGCCTCCCGGGTTCAAGCGATTCTCCTGCCTCTGCCTCCCGGGTAGCTGGGACTGCAGGTACGTGCAACCACGCCCGGCTAATTTTTGTATTTTTAGTAGAGACGGGGTTTCACCATGTTGACCAGGATGGTCTCGATCTCTTGACCTCCTGATCCGCCCGCCTCGGTCAAAGTGGGATTACAGGCCTGAGCCACCGCGGCCAGCCTTGCTGTCTATTTTTAAGGGAATTATTTTGTTGTGTGCAAGTGTATCCGGTATTTTAAAGGTTTTACAATAGAGGTTTTACCAAGCCTGTTTATTTCTACTGAATAGTCATCCTCTACAGTTTGCTACAGATCCCTTCCGTTCCTCTTTGCTCTGCTAGATTGCAGTGGGCTGAGTCTTGTAGGGGGCAGTTTCTCAGGCTCCCAGAGCATCTGGCTTCAGGCCTCCCTCGGTTTAGCCAATGGGAGGCAGTGGCAGTAAGAAGAGAAGGCAGGAGGAAAGAAAAAACCAGGGTATTTCTTCTCTTTCTCTCTCTTGCTCAGGCTCAGATGACATCTCCAGCAGCAGATGAGGCCTCTCTGTGGCTCCAGCTCATGGATAGGTAGCTGTGGTCCCAACATCCGTAGGGTGATCCATGCCCCTGGGCTCTATTCAGTCGGCCTCCTCTTTTTGTCCCTGCAGGTTAGGAGTCGTGGGCAGCTTCTTGCTTTTGCTAATCTCTCTCTGTCCCCTGCTGGGCTTTCCAGACCTCCCATTACCCCTGTTAATCATGTCACCAAAACCCTGCATTACATTCTCTCTGTTTTCAATACTTAAAGTGGTTCCCTCCTGGTGGAGCCCAGTGGCTCACACCTGTAATCCCAGCAGTTTGGGAGGCTGAGGCAGATGGCTCACTTGAGGTCAGGAGTTCGAGACCAGCCTGGCCAACATGGCGAAACCCCGTCTCTACCATAAAAAAGAAAAAAAGAAGAAGAAATTAGCCCAGCATGGTGGTGTGTGCCTGTAATCCCAGCTACTTAGGCGGCTGAGTAAGGAGGATCGCTTAAGCCCAGGAGGCGGAGGTTGCAGTGAGCCAAGATCGTGTGGCTGCACTCAACTGCAGCCTGGGCAACAGAGCTAGACTGTAAAAAAAAAAGCGGTCCCTATTTTCCTGTTGAACCTTGAGTGATACACCCAGTATTGTGCCATCCAATTAGTAGACATTATTTCTTTTAGGTCATATTATTCTCAGCTTATAGAGCAGGGTTAGATTACCTGCCCAAGGTAATACAGCAAGAATCTTTCATCCAAACTAGAGTAATTATTTCCCCCACATTTTAATATCCCTCAAATGGCGATGCTTTCTATAATCAACATCAATATGAAGCTTAGGACTGAAGTTTTAGAACTATCAGGAAAGTGAAAGATGGCTTTTCTGGCATTTAGACTGTGCTGTTACCAGCAGAAGGTAAGCTATGTTTAGAATGAGACATAGATGAGGCCATTTCATGACCACAAAGTGACTTCACCTTTTTTTTTTTTTTTTGAGACAGAATCTCACTCTGTCGCCCAGCCTGGAGCGCAGTGGTGCGATCTCGGCTCACTGCAACCTCTGCCTCCCAGGCTCAAGCAATTCTCTGCCTCAGCCTCCCAAAGCAGCTGGGATTACAGGCGCCCACCACCACACTTGGCTAATTTTTGTATTTTTAGTAGAGTCGCAGTTTCACCATCTTGTCCAGGCTGGTCTTGAACTCCTGACCTTGTGATCCACCCGCCTTGGCCTCCCAAAGTGTTGGGATTACAGGCGTGAGCCACTGCTCCTGGCCTTTTTTTTTTTTTTTGAAACAGTTTTGTTCTTGTTGCCCAGACTGGAGTGCAATGGTGCGATCTCAGCTCACTACAACCTCAGCCTCCCGAGTAACTGGGATTACAGGCATGCGCCATGATGCCGGGCCAATTTTGTATTTTTGGTAGAGACAGGGTTTCTCCATGTTGGTCAGGCTGGTCTCGAACTCCTGACCTCAGGTGATCTGCTCGTCTCAGCCTCCCAAAGTGCTGGGATTATAGGCGTGAGCCACCACTCCTGGCTGACTTTGCCTATTTAAAAAAAAAATAATTTTTTTTTTTTAGAAACAGGGTTTCACCATATTGTCCAGGCTGGACTCAAGCAATCCACCTGCCTCAGCCTCCCAAAGTTCTGGAATCACAGGTGTGTGCCACAGTGCCTGGCCTGACTTCACCTTTTTTGGAGCAATTGCTACTTCTTTTTAGCAAAAATTACTGTAGTCCAGGCTGGGCGTGGTGGCTTACACCTGTAATCTCAGCACTTTGGGAGGCCAAGGTGGGCTGATCACTTGAACCCGGGAGGCAGAGGTTGTAGTGAGTCGAGATCGTGCCACTGCAATCCAGCCTGGGTGACAGAGTGAGACTCCATCTCAAAAAAAAAAAAAAAAAAAAAAGATACCCAGTTTCTGAACTGCCCCTGTTTCTTGACAGTATTCAATCCTGAACCAGTTCCATATCCCTAATTCCTCCATAGAACTATGGGAACAAGGCCAAATTTAAGGAGTTTCCTGAGGGCGCCCTGAGGGTATCCCTAGGATGTATTCTCCTTCACTGCAGCAAATTAAACCTAATTTTGGTTACAGGTGTATTCCTGGTGGTCATTGGTCACAGGGCTTTGACAACCCCAACCAATTTATTTTGCCTACATTTTCATTTTTATGTATATGAAGAGTGATATATCATGAAAACCTATGTTAAAGTATCAACAAATCTAGGGCCAGGTGCAGTGGCTCACACCTATAATCCCAGCATTTTTGGAGGCCAAGGTGGGTGGGTCACTTGAGGCCAGGAGTTCGCAGCCAGCCTGGCTAACATGTCCAAACCCAGTTGCTACAAAAATTACAAAAATTAGCTGGGTGGCCGGGCGTGGTGGCACACGCCTGTAATCCCAGCACTTTGGGAAGCCAATTCGGTTGGATCACCTGAGTTTAGGAGTTCGAGACCAGTGTGGCCAACATGGTAAAACCCTGTCTCTACTAAAAATGCAAACAGTTAGTCGGGTGTGGTGGTGGGCACCTGTGATCCTAGCTACTCAGGAGGCTGAGGCAGGAGAAGCGCCTGAACCCAGGAGGCGCGGGTTGCAGTGAGCCGGGATTGCGCTATTGTACTCTAGCCTGGGCAACAAGAGGGAAACTCCATCTCAAAAAAAAAAAAAAAAATTGCCGGGCACAGTGGCTCACGCCTCTAATCCCAGCACTTTGGGAGGCTGGGGCGGGGGAATCACCTGAGGTCAGGAGTTCAAGACCATCCTGGCTAACATGGTGAAACCCCATCTGTCTTAAAAGTACAAAAAATTAGTCAGGTCTGGTGGCGTGCGCCTGTAATCCCAGCTACTCAGGAGGCTGAGGCAAGAGAATCACTTGAACCCAGGAGGTGGAGCCTGCAGTGAGCTGAGATTGGGCCATTGCACTCCAGCCTGGGCAACAAGAGCAAAACTCCGTTTCAAAAAAAAAAAAAGGCCGGGCACTGTGACTCACGCCTGTAATCCCAGCACTTTGGGAGGCCGAGGTGGGCGGATCACAAGGTCAGGAGATCAAGACCATCCTGGCTAACACAGTGAAACCCCGTCTCTACTAAAAATACAAAATATTAGCCGGGCGTGGTGGCGGACGCCTGTAGTCCCAGCTACTCAGGAGGCTGAGGCAGGAGAATGGCATGAACCCGGGAGGTGGAGGTTGCAGTGAGCCAAGATCGCACCATTGCACTCCAGCCTGGGCGACACAGTGAGACTCCATCTCAAAAAAAAAAAAAAAATTAGCTGGGTGTGGTGGCGCACCCCTGTAATCCCAGCTACTCTGATGACTGAGGCATGAGAATCACTTGAATCTGGGAGTTGAAGGTTGCAGTGATCTGTGATTGTGCTACTGCACTCCTGCCTACGGTGACAGGGCAAGACTCTTTCAAAAAAAAAGGAAAAAGAATCTGCAAGTCTAAAAGAGCTCTTTTTTGTTGTTGTTGAGACAGAGTCTTACTCTGTCTCCTAGGCTGGAGTACAGTGGCATGATCTCAGCTTACT